AAATTTTTTTATTAAGTAATTAATTTTTTAACCTATAAACAAGTAAAATTTAAATAATTAAATTAGTTCATTTAATTTTTCAACAATTTTACCAATGATCCATAGGTTTAATTAGAAAAAAATTGATTTCTCTTAAGCAAAATATTTAGTATAAAAAAAAATTCAGTAGTTTTTTTATTAAAAAATATTTATATTTTAGATTTTTAAAAAATTTTAAAAAAAACTCTATAATTATAATTGTAGTTATGATTATATAGTCAAAGGAAAATGTTATTGGGATTCATAATATTAAATACATTTATCTATTTAATGATATATAGAAATTATATAAAAATATGGGATAAAAAGGTTGTTCTTATAACATTACCTATAGTTAAATTATACTTATGAAAATAGTGTTTATCCATTTCATCTTTTAAAGATTAAAGAGAATATTATTTTAAAATTATGTCATTTTAATAAATATCTATTAAAAAAATTAAAATATCATATTTTTAAAGTATGAATTATGATATTTTTTGTTATTTTTTCTCTTAATTTTTTGAAATAAAGCAGATAAACACTAATCTTATATTTATTTATAATTTAAAATATTTAATTTATTTTACTAAACTAATAATAGTAACTGTTTATTTTCGTTAAACAACTATAAAACTTATTGCTATTGATCGAATTTGTCCGATCGAAATAAAAAGATTGTTGCTCCAAATTAAAAAGCATATCAATGATATTGCCCCAAAAAACCAATGCCAAATCAAAAGAAAAGGAATGCCAAGTCCAATACCAAGCAATTGATAGGGAAAAAAGAAGCCACCGTCAGTCGAGGAGAGAACCACGTACGGCTGCGGCAGAGGTGCTAGCAGAGAAGAGAAATAGGGGCAGGGTTGATACTTGATACTACCGGCTGATAGAGAACAAAACAAGTTTTGTTGACGCTGCAGCTGGAGAAGACAACCAGGGCTGAAAAAAATGGCAAGGGACGGGATAGGGTCAGAGAGAAGGGAGCACATGCAGGTGAAGAAAATCGAAAGGGATGATTCTAAGATTATTGTAAATAATGCGGGTCTCCCAAAAGCTGTAAAGGTACACTTATCATGTATTATCTCCAGTGCCTTCTAATGTGTACCTTCATATATTATTGCATTATTACCTATTGTTATAACTCTTGTTATGACATTCTTCATGACTAAATCAATAATTTAGGATGCTTCTTAAACTCATTCTGACTTGATTTGCTAAGGAAAAGATTAAATGAAATTCCTTATTACTTCTTTAAGAACCCTTGGAGCCAATACCTCTTCAAAGAATAGGAAGAACCTAAAGAGATAAAGAGAACACGAGAAGGGAAGAAACTAATGGGAGAAGGAAGAACTCCCCCAGCGGTTAAGTCCTCCAACGGGGTCAAGCCGCTGGCAGTAGAACAACTCTCAATATTTTGGGTCGAGTCCATGTAATGCTGTGTAAAATTTAACTATCTGATCAGACACTTTTTTCTTTATCAGCCATCAAAATGAAATTTATGTTAAATAGGAGTACAAGAGTACTTTATCTAATCGTAAATATAAATACTAAATAATTATTGGATGATGTTAGTGTTTGTTTATTTTACCTTTAAAAAATTAAGGAAAAAAAATGAAAAAAACAAAAATAACTTTAATGTATACTTTAAAAATAAGATAATTTAGTTTTTTCTAATAAAAATTTATTAAAACGACGTAATTTTGAGATAATTTTTCTTTAAATTTTTAAGAAGTAAGACTGATAAACACTATTTTCTTATAGAATTGAGACTAAAAATAGAGTTGAGAGTAAAATAATTTGTATTAAAAAAAATCACTATAATTTAAATTATAAAATATAAAAACTATTAAATAAAAAAAACCTCCTAATATTTATCTAATAATTTAAATTATATAATTCATTATACTCCGGACTACACTACTTTTTAAAAATAAAAATTACAGATCAGATGGAAGGTCTAACCTAGCTAATAGTCTAAGTCCAACCTGATAGCAATCAGGCCTTCCAATCTACTAAAGGGCAATTTCTTGGCATCCTTGTATGCAATCATGCATGCAGAACGGTGTTGAGTTCTCAGGAGGTGGCACTAAAAGCTAAGCATGATGACAACGCCATGGATTTGATATTAGTTCATGGGAGCGGGCGATTGAGGCTTTTAAGAATATTTTTATTGCTGCTACCGATGGGCAGACATCTTTCACCGCCATACCTCGAATATGTTAAGGTACGAATACGAATATATGCTTGCCTGTACCTTCTACATATGAATCCTAAAAGCAAAGATGTATGCATCCAGCTGCAATCCAATCGTGGTATAAAATTTTATATGCCAGCTGGCAAAGAAGGCTTGTATACGGTTAGATTATTGTCTCACTATTTTTACCATGGGTATTCAGATGATGGTGCTAACAAACTTCCTTATTGATTTAATTTGCTTCTAAAAACTAAAGTAAAAATAGTGATTTGGGATAAACTAACCACATATCGGTTCTGCTGACTCAGTAGGTCTAGGGAAGGTAGTGAGTGGTGACTGCGTGAATCACTTGTTCTGTCACGTAGTTGGGTGATATTTTCCTATACGTTTATATAGGAATTTTTATATACTGCCTCTATTAGTAACGTGGAACTCAGGGAGCTTAGCTATAAAAGGCACAGGAATGATAATTCTATTTTTATTCTATTTTCGTCTTATTGACTCTTTGACCAACTTCCTTGTAAAAGTCTGTAACTGTTTTATTTCATCTTTTGACTTCTTGTTGTTGTAACTTTCAGTATTTTTATAGGTTCCCCATCTAACAATTTCACGCGTGCATTTGATATCTCCCACATTCCATGGGTTATTGGAAGCAATAGCATCTAATTAAAAGTTTCCATATGGAATTGCAGGTAAAATCAGTGAAGGTAAGGCTGGGAAGCGCACACACAATGGTTGTGGCATTGATGTTGAGCTTTTTCCACTCCGCGGGCAGGTAATCTCTTCATTGCTTCCTGAGCTGTGCTGACTAATTAGCTGTTCCCCTAGCCATCACATACAATGGACTGAGAGCTCTCTCTTGTTTGATTTTTTTGTCATTTCCTGGGATGTGAGTGCACTCCTTATGGTCAAGGATGTGCAGTGTGTAAAGTATATCCTTATACAAAACAGAAACATCTCTCTGGTATATTCTTCGATTAACCCCTTTCCTATTGTGTAATTATTACATGTATATAGGTATCTCAGGTGCATGTAAATCTTTTGTTGGGTTATGTATCTGATGCGTGTTTACTTTTATTTTACTACTCTTCCATGGTTTGCTTGCACGCGTTAGCAGCTTAAAGTTTTGAGAATCCATTTCTTTTTTTTTTTTATTTTTAAAATTTTTTGTTTCTTATTCAGATTTATTTTGTTCTGACCACCTTATATTGCACCTGAGATATTTTTATTGTTGAGCATCTTCCTGGCCTTTGTCATCTCCTGTTTCATATTCATGAATAAGTTAGTTGCGAGTGACAAGTGGATGGCTTGAATTGCCTCTGTGGTGTATATTTGGATGATATTAATCCAATGACTAGTGTAGTGTGGTTGAACAAATGTAAAATATCGTTGTCAAAGTGTCTTTTACGGTTTCTAATATAGGCCATTATCTGTATTTTGTCGCCTTTTTTGTTCCTTATCCTTGAAAGATTAAAGGAAGAAATATGTTATAAAACCTGTGTTCTCCGCCTCTACTTCCTCATCCACTCATCCTTCAGCTCTATTGGCCAATAGTTTGACATGTTTTGAAGAAGGCTTGATTTAGACTATGTGCAGCCTAATTTGGTTTAGTTTTTGAGTTTTTATTTTTTATATATTTAATTATTATTATTATATTGAAATTTAAATTTATTAAAGGTTAAATGTCAATTTTGATCCCTCAACTTTAGCATTTTGCATAATTTTCATTCATTAACTTCTTTTTGCATTTTTTGTGGTCCCTTAACTATGAAAAATGCACTTTTTTTGTCTTTTATTAGTAAATCCATTAAGTCTATCTGAATCTGCACATTTTTATTTCCTCAATTTTAAGTTAAACGATAAAAAATGTGCATATATTAAAAGTTGATGAATTAAAAATATATACATTCAGATAAACTTAATGAATTAACTAATGAAAGAATTAAAAAAAATAAATTTTTCATAGTTAAATGACTTAAAAAGTGCAAAAAAAAGTTAAAGGATGAAAATTGTAGAAAAACTTAAGTTTAGGGACCAAAATTAGCATTTAACCTTTATTAAATTTAATTAAGTATAACACTCCTCCCTTTTTCATATGGTTGGATTAATTAGAGTTGGTATTAACAATCCTGATTACTCTAGAATTTATTAATTTTTTTTATTAACTCTTTTATTTCTTCAAGAACAACTTGGTCTCAATTTAGCATGTCGTGGACTTCAATAATTTTTGTTATAGCCTTCTCTCTTTTTCAGGTGACTTTTAATCTTCAAAAATCAAGTATATATTTTCTTTTATTTTGGAGTTTTGGGATTTTGTCCATTAGTTCAATCTCTATTCAAAAAATTTAAAAGACAATTATTAGTTTCTTTCCACATGCTCGATCCCAAAGTCATACTACTCAACAAAAAAAAAAAAAAAGTTTGCATTCTATTTAATATTTTATATTCAAGTGTTAAAAGGTAATTTGTTCAAAATAAACCTTTTAACATGTGTATTATCTAATCTTACTTTAAAATCCTTTGGTAGCAAGAAGAAACTGTATTTCTCTCTCTCTCTTTTCATTCTTAATGGCTAATAATTCTTTATGGCTGGAGTGATATCTAATTTCTATATCATTGAGTATTCTACTAACATATTTACAAATCTTTTCTTGAGAGTTCTTCATAATTGCTCCCTAATAATAATATGAGGCATCACATTTTAAAATGAGTTCTTCATCATCTTTAGGCAACTATAACTTAGATAGGTTTCTACAATATTCTTTTATTTTCTGCTCAAATTTTTTTCTTATAGTTGTTTATACCTAGCTATTATGTCGTGAATTGCTTCATTTTCTTCAACTATATCACTAGTTAGATTGCCACTCATAATAGTATTTATTTCTTCATTTTGTAATCCAGAAAACCATTCATAAATTATTCTTTAAAGGTGATTTGAATGAAATTATTACCTACATATGACTAATTTTTATTTGCTATAGTTTTCTAAGTGAATTGAATCCAATCTCTAAGGGCTCTATTTATATCTATTATATAGTCTAAATCTAACCAAATATGGTCACTATTGGTACTAATTCTTTGTTCCTTTAACTTAAAATAGTATTTCAAATTTGGATTGGTTCTTCAATTTTTTTATTTTTCCTATGTAGAATTTCATATCTAGGAGTTTTGTTTCTTCAAGGCTCTTGAGCCACATTTGTTTCCTATTTTAAGTTGTATTGAAACTTCTGAAGGAATTGTATTTTGTAATTATATTGGTAATTCTGAAAGAATTACATTTGGTAGTTGCTCCTCATCATCATCACAAGGGGTCATTTGCCACCAAATAAAGTACGAGGCATAAATGCCACAACAAATAAGTTCAAGGGTTTATTTATATCTTCAGCCTTATCAAAAATGACAATGAACATTAAAAAAGTATTCCAAAATCTCGATATCTTGAAAAAGACTAACCATTGGATGATAATAGGTTTTTTTTGAAAATAGGCAATGGCTGATAATAGGTTAGAGCCCTCCTATCTAATGGCAAGAATTACTTGTAACAATTAATTTAAAACTTCAGTTAACTATCAACAATTTAAATAATTTATTGGATATTTTTTTTTATTAGAAGTAAGAGATTTTAACTTCGAATTGTATGGCAGACGGGTGGTATAAGAGGAGGGATGAGATAAAGGATGAGAGATAATTGTCTTTTATTGTGCAATCAAGATAAAAAAAATTAATTAATTATCAAAATAATTTAATAATAATGTTTTTTATTAAATGTAAAAAATTTTGAATTTAGGTAACATGATTTATGGCTAATATAAGTTAAAAAAATAAAAGGGAATTATTTTTTATTATATAATTTAAGATAAAAAAATTTAAATTTAAAATCAAAATTAAATGTGTAAATTTCTATAAAATCCAGCAGTTAATTGACGTGAAAAAAAAAAAAAAAAAAAAAAAAAAACTGATTTTTTAGCAGTCTACCACAATCAGCACCATGGATTGTAGAGCAAAAACTAAAGATAAATAAAGGTCTGCCACAAAACCACAGGAAAGTCGGTTGCACCACAACGGCATTCATACACCAAACGTAAGGTCAGGCTTCTCCACCTAACTGTTTGCTGCTGGGGATTCACTCAGAACATGGCTACATCCACTCTCCCCTTCTCGCCGGCGGCGGCGAGCTCGTCCTTCCTCCTTCGGACTGCCGGAACCTCGCCTTTGGTTGTTAAATCAGCATCTTTCCCTTCGCCTTTGGGTTCCAACTGCCGGAGAAGGAGAAGAGCTGCGTTGAGAACTATTTCGTGCCGTGTTGCTTCCGCTTCAGCCTCAGTTGATAAGGAGAAGGATGCATCGGTATCGGGATCGAGTGAGGCTGAGGAGCAGGGAGAGCAAGTGAATGCGAAGATTGGGGCGAGGGTTAGGGTGAAGGCGCCTCTCAAGGTCTATCACGTCCCTCGCGTGCCAGAGATCGATCTCACTGGACTGGAAGGAGTGATGAAGCAGTATGTAGGGCTCTGGAAGGGGAAGCGCATTTCCGCCAATCTACCGTACAAAGTGGAGTTTGTCAAGGAAATTGAAGGTAGGGGACCGGTCAAATTCTTTACCCATCTCAAGAAGGACGAGTTCGAATATCTCGATTAGAGTTCTTAGCGTCGGCTTTGCCAGTCCATATTATCAGGCAATAACTTCTTCTCTCTTGATTCCTCCAACAAACCGATTAATTATCTGCTGTTGTATGTAATTTACTTTCGCTCTCCCCAGAAATTTCTTAGTTTTGGTTAAATAATTGTTATTGTTCAAGTTTGAATTACAAGGGTTACTTGCACATTTTGGTAACTAGTGATATACCTACTTTCACTGCTTCTTCATATTATACATTCTTTGTGCCTATTTTTTATTCTTCCATTGTAATTGTCCTTTTTCCTTCACAAGTCATCTGGGTTTTGTCCTAAAAATTCTTGTCCTTTTGTCCAGAAGCATTGCGAAGTTGTAGGAGCTGAATTTCATAGACCCAAATGTAGAACAGGCTTCTGTTTTATGTATTTATATTTTTTTGATGAGGATATGGACATTGAATGAGCGCAAGGTTACCAGGTCTGGCTATATGCCAATCACTTTTTTTCTCCATAGGCATGGGCATAATTGTAGCATATTCACTAAAGAAAGATAACATCAAGCCAAAGTCAGCCCTGAGTTGCTGTAATGTGGAGCAGTACAGATACAAGAGGGTAGCGTCCTCACATAAAAGTAAAGTAACTAATGTTAAAAATATTAAATTAGGCTTATGGCTGTATGGTGTATAATGCATTTGAATTAGATAGTCTCTCTTTTGTTGCTGGCAAAAGTTCATCAGGAATCGTCATGGAAACAAAGCTAAATTTCTTTCTCTTCTGGGGGCACTAAAACATGCCTCCATCATCAGGTTTATCTCAGCTCTTGTAGAGTATTCTTGCTTTGTCTTTTTTTTTTTTTTTTTTCCTCTCTCCTTTGTCTAAATCCTTTTTTTTTTCCTCGTTCATTTGGCAAAAGCTGTTTTTTTTTTTCCTCTCGGTTCAATTGGCGAAAGCTGCTGTATGCTTTGAGGATGGTAATTTAGGTTTGTTTTCATTTTGAACATTTTATATTCTTTTCCAGTTGGAGTGTAGCCAATTAAATGAACTGCTGATGAAGAAACTAACTTCTTAGTTGAAGGATTGGAGTTTGTTTAGTATTGGTATAAAAGAAGCTTTGCTGCTGATAGTACTGTCACAGAACAGGAGTGCTTTCCCAGGATAAGCTCAATTAAAAGAAAACCGTAGCTATCAAGTTAAATTAAGAACTCTTCAGTCTATGGCTAGAAGAAATGTTTTGCTGCTACAGAAGTACTTCTTGAAGAATATGCTTGCTTTTCTATATGATCAATAACTGCCTTGGAATTTATTGGTGAGATTTTATTCATCTATCAAGTATTTTGATTGGAGCAGTGTCTCTGAAGATGAGTTATGGTAGTCATCTCAAAATATGAACTTGTTTTCAAAGTTAAATATGTTTTAACTTTTAAATAGCAAGATGATGTTGATGTTGGACACCTTTTGAATGTTAAATGACAATGATGAACTGAAATTGCTCTACCTGAAATTACTCAGGCAATTTCGTTGCTAAGAATGTGAGAAAATGTTTTGATGAATTCATAACATTGTACCATATGGAATTGAATAAGAAAGAATGTAATGAGTTGCTCTATGCACAGGCGCTTATAGCATAACGCAGCAAAACATAGTGGTGCAAATGGGTTTGAATTACTTATTCTTGGTTTCTTGATGTTATCGATGTAACTTCTTCACACAATCATTCAGAAATTCTAAACTTTTAGGTGCAGGTTGTTTTCCAGTCAAAAAAAAAAAAAAGAAAAGAAGAGTGCAGGATGTATACTGGATGGTACAACATAATTTCCCCATTAGTTTTCTGCTGGATTTTTTACATTTAATAGATACTGTTCGTAACAATTATTACTAGATATAGAACAAAGAAAGGGATTTTGGATAATTAGTGGAACAGAGGCAAGTATGAGAAAGGAATAGTAGAATTGGGGATTTTTGGGAGACAATTTCTTAATTCATCTCAAAATTAAATAATAGAACGCTTACCACCCTAATTACACCTAATTCCTAAATTAACTCTTAACAAGCATTTTTATTGCAAGATATAAGTCGTAATAAATGCTAAACAATATTACATTATAATTCTTATGTACTAAAAATTATAATATATGTCAATGACATAAATAGTTCAATAGTTATCTTTTTTGTTAAAAATTAGGGGTTTTTGGTTTTGATTGGCTTGGATTATGGTTGAGTTGGGTTAGGAACGGGGGGTTGTTTCCTTTTCTTTGTTCATTTATTTTAAAAAAAATTATAATATATGGAACATGTAATGTGGTCGGGGAAACTTTTGAGCCTCAGGTGGTTGAAGCCATCTTGCAAACACCAGTCAGCAAAAATATTGGAATAGATTGGTTGATACGGGTGAGTATTGCCGATGAGAGGCTCATAGTCCGGTCAGTGTTCATATATGCACGGAGAATAGTCTTCCTAGCGGAGGATAGTAGTAGAGACGCAGTGCTGGAACTGGTTTGGAAACGAGTTTGGAATTTATATGTACCTGCCTAGATCGAACATTTTCTCCAACACTGTTTAAATAAAAAATATAAAAGGAAAGGGAAAGGAGGGAAAGGGAGTGAAATGATTTGTATTAATTTTATTTGGATAAATAAAAATAAGTAAGGAGAAGGGCGGGGGAGGAAAGGAAAGGATTCAATCATTTTCTGTATGGTTAAACAACAAAAAAGGTAAGAAAATGTTTAAATAATTTCAAAATTACAAATTTACTCTTCAATAAATATTACAATAAAGAATTGGACTAAAATTGGCTTTCAAGCAGTGATTCGAAGAAATTAATTTTATTAATAATTTGGGGGTTTTGGTTAAAAAAATAAATCATTTCTTTACACAATTTGATCAAGTTTTTCATTTAATAATTTGGCTTTCTATTTGTTGATTATTAAAATTAACTTTTAAAGATGGGACCAATTACCAAATAATCATTCTATGATTAATATGGCATGTCAATATGCAAATATAAACTAGTAATGTTTTAAATTAGAATTATTTGGAGAGAGTTTGATTGATGCAGTATGTTGTTTTCAAGCTTTTAATTTTGCTTCTTTCTGCGACAACAAATTCTAAAAACAAATAATATATTTTAATAAAAAATACTACATAGATTAAAAGTATTAAGTAACAAGGTGTGTTCAAGGTATACACACCTTGATTTCTGGCTCCTGATGATATGTTCGGTTTAGTAGTAGCAAGAACGAGGAGGATTTTAAAGTCAAAAACTTATTTTTAGTTGTTTACCTTAAGAAATTTATAGGTTTTAATTCCTCACATTATATTCTGACACTTTTAGCTTTTTACCTTCATAAGTTTATAGGTTTTAACTCATCATCTTATATTATGACACTTTTAACTCTTCACTTCTACGAATTGAAAAAAATAGCCTTCACTTAACATCAAGTTATAGTATTCTGTTAGTTCCGTTAGTTCCGTTAGTTGACTGTTAGCTTTGTTAGCTTTGTTAGCTGATTGTTAATATCCGTTAGTGTTTCATTATAAAAAATATGAAATTTAAATTTAATTTTATTTATTAGTTTCGTTAATGGAATACTAACGGAATGCTAATAGTCAATTAACAGAAATAACATTCAATTAATAGAACTAATAAAACATTATAACCTGACCTTAAATAAAAGTTAGTTTCTTCAATTCATATAGATGGGGGGTTAAAAGTATTATAGTATAAGGTGATGAGCTAAAACCTACAAACTTATTAAGGTAAAAGACTAAAAGTGTCATTATATAAGATGAGGGTCTAAAACTTATAAATTTATTAAGATAAAAGGTTAAAAGTATGTTTTAGCCGATTTTAAATGGTAGTGAATAAGGGTTATTCTTGTAATTATCTTTTATACAATATAAATGTTGGAGAGAACCCCTCCTACACAAACCCTCCAAATTGGTATTGGAAATTAAGAGGTTTGAGGGGTTGTTGAGGGGAAATTGGTATTGAAAATTAAGAGTTTTAAGGGGGTTGAGGGGATCTTAAATCCATTGATCTCCTTCCCTCCCCTTCTTTGTCTTTAGAAATCCAAATGAGAAGAAGTAGAGAACCTCTCCTCACTCCCCCTCTCTTACCGTGTCCCCTTCCCTCCCCCTCCTTTTTTGTCTGAGCCCCCTCAATTCATACAATTTGTAAAGGGTGATTTGAAGTATGTTTACCTACTAGGTTGGGAGGAAAAAAATAGGGTAATGAATGTACTTTAGGATCAATGCCAAAGGGTATTGATAGTTCCAAAAAGGGTTTGTCCACATGCCAAGACCATAATGGCCATTTCAAGGACATATAAGATATGATGCACATAGAGAATTGTTTAATATTTTAGGTATTCAATTTTTTTTTTTTTAAAACTGAAACCAGACCAAATAAAGGGCTATATTTCAATTTTGTTTATTTAAAAATTTTAGGTAAACCAGTTGAGTTTCTAAATAAATAAAATTTTAGCCAATTTTAATTAATGGTTTCTTTTTTTTT